TTTCCGTCGAGTGTTCGTTACGTTCACTTATGCTTAAATATCGTTGACAAAGATATGAAGCCATCTCTCCCCGCACTATCACTCAAGGGTGATAACAGCAGAACAGACTGGACCCAACATCCGTGACTGGAAACCTGTCTAGAAAAGGAAAAACTCTGAATTCAAAACCAGAGGCTCGTTGGGAAACTTTCTGATACATTATGCGCAATAGTTCTGTCTTTAGTTCGTCTGAACAGTGTAGTTAATTATGCACACGCCTTCATCACTATAATTAAATTATATGAGCAGGTAGGATCCCCGTACGTCGAAAATATAATTTTTCCCTAAAATATAGGATAAAGTGGGAAAAGTTTTCATGTAAAGCGTTTTGTCCTTTAGGACTTCATCGTACTGAAGTGATGTTCATGATGATGCGACTACGCATGCGCACAAAGAAGAAGCGGGGGACGACGCTGAGATTTTTTTTTCTCATTTTTTTTTTTTTTTTTTTTTTTTTAATATGTTTAAGGCGTAATTTGCCAATATTTTTTTTTATATAGTTTTTTCCTTGAAATTGTTTTTGATATGTAAAAATGTATAAATTATTTGCCTATATACATATACGTGCGCGCGCACACACAAACACACACAGAGTAATAATTACTAATGTTAAGCTCATGAAAAGAGTGAAAGATGTAACTTAAAAAAAAAAAAAAAAAAAAAAGAATGAAAACAAGAGGGTGGTGGAGATGTTAAACTTTACAACCTCCTCCATGGCTGTTTCACTTGCTCTCAATTTTTCTTTCCTTTTCTTTCTTTTGAAGGAAGTGATCTCAACCCGAAAGAAGTTTTCTCACTGATTAGTAATTACGAGTGTTTACGCGGAAATACAATTTGTCAAGCGAAAGCCTCGACGCAAAAAATAAATTACAAAAAAAAGGAAAGATTCAGGCTGTCTCCATTTACACATTGACTTACTCAATCATATCTTTTGCATACATATACGCAATTATATACAAGTATACAAGAGTGCGCTCTACGAAAAAGCCCTTCAAAAGAAAAGTCAGATTTTGGAAAGTAGGCCAAGCTAAAAACTTTTCAGCACCTTTTCACACACAAACAAATACATACATATATACATATACATATATATAAAATAAATGTGAATATCAGTATGTCACTGTCACACGTTTTCAACTTTAATCCTATAGGCCGTAGCCTAACATATACCATTTTGGAATCAGGCCGACCCCGTGAGTAAATTAAAAACATCCCGGGACGGATCCGGACCCGCGATCCAAAAATTTTGGACTACTAAATTTTCATTACTGTGATTATTTTCATAAAAAAAATGCAATACTTATATGTAGTGATCAATTGTGAGTTCTTATGTAGTTCATTGTTGCCTATCACATCTACCCCTCCCTGCCTATTTTGATGAAGGCCCAATCAAGAGCCCTTCACAGGAACTTAAATGCTCCCCGATAGGACTGCTTTTAAGCTAGTTATATATATATATATATATATATATATATATATATATATATATATATATATATATATATATATATATGTGTGTGTGTGTGTATATATATATATATATATATATATATATATATATATATATATTATTTATATATTATATGCGCGGAACTTATTAGAGAAGCGCTCAATATCAGAGATAGAGCTAACATATTTGGTTGGATTGATGTGAGTTTGTGACCCTGGGTTTCACGCTTTTGCGATCGTCAGTTTGTTTGACGATCGCAAAAGCGTGAAACCCAGTCACAAACTCACATCAATCCAACCAAATATATATATATATATACACTAGCTTAAAAGCAGTCTTATAGAGCGGTATTTAAGCTCCTGTAAAGGGCTCTTGATTGGGCCTTCATCAAAATAAATAGGGAGGAGTAGTACGATAGGCAACAATAAACCACAGAACTCAAAATTGGTCGATTCATTAATTGCATTAATTTTTAAGACTACCTTTTAAAAGGTTTAACGATAATTCTTCTGCCGCCACTTAATTTAAACACAATTGGATGTACGTAGGTCCTTATTCGCACAAACAATTATTTTATTTCATGGGTGGCTTTCGCAATTAATTTCTATTATTCATAAGTTCGTTTCCAAGTTATAAAAATTGTTGTCGTACAAACAAAATCGCCGCAAAAAATCGCCGGAAACAGTCACAGTAATGAAAATTTGGTCATTCATAATTTCAGGGTTGCGGGTCCGAGACCGGAAAGAGAGTTGAATTTTTTAGCACGCATAATAAAGAAAGATGGCCTAGAGAATTTGACACTCAGAAAACATAGTGAAGGTAAGGGTCGTCACAGAAAAGCAGCGAGTAACCTAGCCACGGACCTTGTTAAAATGGATAGCAGAACCGGAATTAGGAGGAATAACAAAAAAAAGAAACTTTATTAAATGTTACAGTGGATAGGAAATTGTGGAGGGCCATAATCTCCCAGGTTGTAAAAGGAGACGTCACATAGAAGTATAATAATGGTGATAATGTTCTTGTCAAATAAATGTTATTTTTGTGACATTTGAGCAGGTTTATATTTCGTTTCCTAGAATACTCCAATTATAACATTCTACTGAGTGTGGCCAATGTACAATGTCTTTATAGCCTGCAGAGAGAGAGAGATAAAAAAAAAACAATAAAAAAACAAATAACAGGCGTGAATACTTCGGTAGGGAACGAAAGAAGAAAAGAATGTGTATCGGTTGACAAATTTCAATGTGATTTTTGACAAGCGCTCGGCCGATCTTATTAACCTGCAAGAGAAAATTAATATATGTGGTTCGCCCCTGCGTGGATTTGTGTCTGTCATTGTCAAAGCGTTCACGTTTCAAACAGGAGGAGGGCGAGAGTTTGCGAGAAGTCAAGAGAAAATGCGAGAAAAAGAAAACAGAAAAAGAATCGTATTTTTGTAACTGACACCTATATATACATACATACATACATACATACATATTAGTTCTTGCGGTTGATTATAGAGGTAAGAGGGTTTTGGTACTGGCTAGATATGGGAGAATGGTTTATCAAAATACTCAGTTACCCAACTTTATTCGACAATTATCGTAACAATTTAGTGATAATTATGTACGAGAAATATCAGTGAAAACATCACAGTGTCCCTATTTTCATTTTCTAATGATTTTAAATTAATGGATGATGACTTCTACGACAATTATATATGCGCAGAATTTCCCCTATCGCATCGTTAACTATTTGAGCTTAACAACTTTAGCAAAATATTGCAATAATAATCATAAATATGAATGCCGGTCGTTATTTTGAGAAGTAAGGGGGTACAAATGAAAAGATTTGAAATTGAAAACTTCTTCTATTTCACTAAAACAGGCATTCAGCACTTGTCTTCCTATCTTTCCTTAATTTTCTCACTAAACCCAAGTAGTTTCTCTGATATGGCTTTTCTGTCTTTCCACGCAATCTAAACGGGATAGTCTATTATTTATGAGGTAGTGACAGGCTGTGCTAACTAAGGGCGGGACAAACAGAATTATAAGATGGTAATAGAACACAAGAAGAGTTAGATTCATGCCTTTCTCAGAGATAAAGTTTGGATAAGTAATCATCGTCAAAAATCGTTTGATAGAGAGCATTTTTCGGGTTGGATATTATCCCACGCTCATATATACAGAGTGCGATGGGTAAACTGTCGCTATCTTATACTGTTAATTTCGCGCATGCGCGTTTTTTTTTTTGTGTGTGTGTGTCAACTGCACACTATAGTGGGGGCACAGTCTTTAAGAATAAAAGAACCATAACGCCATTCACTCCGCCAGAATTTTGAAAACGGCCTTCCTGTACTGCTTGGCATTTGCACCGGAAGCCCCAATACGAACATTTCAGAGTATATAGGTGTCAATCTGAGGACAGTGCAGAAGATTCGGAAAGAGTTGGAGGAGTCTAATGAAGTTTACGGTGTTTGGAGCGGTCACTAGAGATGGCGCCGTTATGCCTCCATTCATCTTCCCACATCTTCAATAGGAAGGCCTACCTCAAGTGCCTTGAGGAGGTAATGATATCCAGAATCAAGAGGGTAGCTGCTGGAAGACCCTATGCAGGAGAACCCAGTCATGGCTGTCAGACAATTTCTACGACCGCATCACTCCTTACATCTGGCCACATATCTCCCCAGATTGCAAACCCCTTGATTATTATGTGTGGGGCGTAGTTGACGTAACACCAAAGATGAACTGAAGGCAAGGATTATGGTAGCAACAAACAAGGCCATCCAGAAGAGATGCAGGAAATTCCGAAGTCATCTGGAGGCAAGCCGTGGTTAAAGCCAATGGCGATTTTATTGAATAAATTTACTATAATTTTTCAATATATTTTTGCGTAATTTTGGTAAATGTATCTGATAAAATGAAATGTCCGTGTTATTTTCATTTTTGCGTAATTTAGCAGACCACCATATATATATATATATATATATATAGATATATGTGCGTGTGTGAAGTTTGATATTGCTCAGAATCAATAATATAAAATAGCGAAATAAAATGAATATACAATTAACCAAGTAATTTAAAATAAACTAATAATTGGTAACTTTGAAGATTATGATAGTTGCAGTGTATATTTTCCGAGTTATACCATCGTTGAGAATTTATTTTCGCAAATGTTCTTTTACCAAATTTTACAAAAGATCTGATAATTTATTGCCCTTCTTATACTAAAAAAAATATCACAGCGCATTTTGCTTATACACAATTTTTTTCTTTCAATTCGACCTGAAGAAGCCGAGGCTGACATTATTTACTGACACATTATTTTGTAGCTTTTCCAATTTCTCATCTCCAAAATTATATTTCGGACCGAGAAAATAACATATTTAAAAACTTGCACATTTTTAACTTTAATATAGACATATCGTGCTTCTGAATATTTAATTGTCGCGCTCTTAACAAACTCTAGAATAGCAAAAATTTCAAATTTGTTAGGAGTCTATGATTTACGTTTATGTAGACATTAC